AGAGAGAGAGAGAGAGAGAGAGAGAGAGAGAGAGAGAGAGAGAGAGAGAGAGAAAGAAGGAGGGAGAGCGAGAGAGAGATAGGAAGTACGGCCATAGCCAGGGAGAGAGGGAGAGAAAGAGAGGGAGAGAGAGAGAGAGATAGGAAGTACCATAGCCAGAGAGAGAGGGAGAGAAAGAGAGGGAGAGAGAGAGAGAGAGCGGAGAGAGAGAAAGAGAGAGTGAAGTGCTGCCCTCTGTTCCCCGTGAGTGCTTCGCGCCCCCTTCACCGAGCACCACACGTAGGACCAAGTGATATTGTCTGCTCTCCGTGGAGCGCTTCACGCTCTCTGTATCTGTGCCGTATGTGCGACCAAGTGCTGATGCTAATGACCGAGGGATATTGTCTGTTCTCCGTGAAGCGCTTCAAGCTCTCTGTACCTGCGCCGATGCTGATTTTCGTTCGTTATGAGCGCTTCCCGCTCTCCCTACCAAGCTCCATACCTGCGACCAGGTGATATTGGCTGTTCTCTGTGGAGCGCTTCAAGCTCTCTGTACCTGCACCATACGCGCGACCAAGAGTTGATACTGATTTTCGTTCGTTATAAGCGCTTCCCGCTCTCCCTACCAAGCTCCATACTTGCGACCAGGTGAGATTGGCTGTTCTCTGTGGAACGCTTCAAGCTCTCTGTACCTGCGTCATACGCGCGACCAAGAGTTGATGCTGATTTATGCCCGTTGTGAACGCTTCACGCTCTCCCTACCAAGCTCCATGCCTGCGACCAGGTGATATTGGCTGTTCTCCGTGGAGCACTTCAAGCTCTCTGTACCTGCGCCATACACGCGACTAAGAGCTGATGCCGATTTCCGTTCGTTGTGAGCGCTTCACCCTCTCCCTACCAAGCTCCATATTTGCGACCTGGTGATATTGTCTGTTCTCCGTGGAGCGCTTCACGCTCTCTGTACCTGTGCCATACGTGCGACCAAGTGCTGATGCTGATTTCCGTTTGTTGGGAGCGCTTCACGCTCTCCTTACCGAGCTCCACACGTACGACCAAGTGATATTGTATGTTCTCCGTGGAGCGCTTCACACTCTCTTTACCTGCGTCGCGCGTGCGACCGAGAGTTGATGTTGGTTTCCGTTCGTGGTGAGCGCTTCACGCTCTCCTTGTCAAGCATTATACGAGCGACCACGGGATGTTCTCTGTCCTCCGTGAGCGCTTCACGCTCTCGGTACCTGCGTCATACGCGCGACCAAAGGCCGATTGTCATGCGAACGATCGAGTGCTGATTTCGGTTTAGTATGAGCGCCCTTCGCTCTCTGAACATGTGCCATACGTACGGTCAAGTACTGTTCAATGCCCCTGAGAGCGCTTCGCGCTCTCTGCACATGTACGAGCAAGAGTCGTCCGCTCTCTGCATGGAGCTCCACTCGCGTGACCGAGGGTTGTTCGCCTTTCGAAAGACGACGTCTCGCTTCCTGTACCGTACTCAGGACCAGACAGGGTCTTCGCAGCGTCGGGCGGTTGTTACCGGTGCTGGACCATTCTATCGTCCTTTTTTTGTTTTGTTTTAATCAGCTCCCTATTCGAATCTGTTTGCTGGCGTTCGACCGTGACTAGACTAACCTATGTTTTCTTTCAGCTCACTACCCAAGTCTTTTGCCCACGGCTCGACCGCGGCTGGTTTATTCGCTTGCTTTTCTCAGTAGTCTGTTTGGTTCGCAGAATAGACCCCGGGATTCGCTCTGTTGAGACCAAGCTCTTCAGTTTTTTTTTCTCATCCTCAAAGACGGTTGTCCTCTCCTGATCACTAGCGTGAGGCTGTCAGCCATTCTATCGGCCCTCCCTCCGAGGGGGCGGTAGGTCGACAGGTGGACGGAAGCAAATGCGAACTAGAGAAAGGGACGAGTGAGAGAGAGAGAGAGAGAGTAAAGAAAGGTGAGAGAAGAAGAGAGGGGGGGAAGAGAGCTACAACTTGCGAACGTCTGTGGTTTCTCAGTAGAAGCAGAGAGAGAGAAGTTCTCAGAGGGAGAGGGGACCCGAGTTGAGGAGGCTACTTCGACGGGACCCTTCCATGAGCGTGCTGGGATGAGCTGGTCGCCGTCTAAAGCTCGTACTTTGGTAACTTCAGTCCCCCCATTGCTCTTTGGCTCTACAGCTTGCTGAACATATAGTTGCTCTTTGGTTCCGAACTTGTCGAGGCTCTTTGCTTGTTGAGCTTGTTGTCGTGTCAAGCTCGTTGTTATTTGTGTACTTTGGTAACTTTGTTTCCCCATTGCTCTTTGGCTCTACAGCTTGCTGAATATATAGTTGCTCTTTGGTTCCGAACTTGTCGAGGCTCTTTGCTTGTTGAGCTTGTTGTCGTGTCAAGCTCGTTGTTATTTGTGTACTTTGGTAACTTTGTTTCCCCATTGCTCTTTGGCTCTACAGCTTGCTGAATATATAGTTGCTCTTTGGTTCCGAACTTGTCGAGGCTCTTTACTTGCTGTGTTTGTCGCCGTCTCAAGCTCGTTGTTATCTGTGTACTTCGGTAACTTTGTTTCCCCCTTGCTCTTTGGCTCTACAGCTTGCTGAACATGTAGTTTCTCTTTGGTTCCAAACGTGTAGAGGTTCTTGGCCCTACAGCTTGCTGAGCTCGTGGTCGCCTCGAGCTCGTCGTTGTACGTGTCCCTTAATCTCAATTAAGTCAATTCTTTGATTTCACGTGGCTCTTTGGACTTGCCGCCGTCGCAAGCTCGTTTGTTATCCTTGTTCCCTACCCTCAGTTAAGCAAGTTCTTTGTGTTTACGTTGCTCTTTGAGCACAGGTCACAGGCCGCGAGCTCAGCAAGCTCAGCAAGTCCTTCGACTTTGTGATCGCTGGCTGGCCGTCCTTTCTAACACTTGACTCCACGAACAATGTTGACATGTCTCGAGCTAGTCGACCAAGCTCGTTGACTTTACCAGCAATATTCACAGCTCGCCGAGGTTGTCATTACTCCTTAGGTGTTACGGGCGAGGGTTACAGCTCGCTGAGCCGGGCGGTGGGCAGAAGGGCGATTTTTCCCAGCTCGTCGCCTCTTGAGTTAGCCGGTTCTCTGTTGATATTCCCGGGGCGAGGATTGGTTCGGTGCCTGTGACCCGGTACCCCCCCCCCGTTCTCGGGGGGGGAACGAACTCGACACCGGTAAGCCGCGAAAAGGAAAGCTTAGCCGTCGGACAAAAGCGAAGGGGAAATACGTACGACACCGGGTCATTCGAAAGCCACAAAGCCACTAACTTGCTCCCTCGCCTGGGATAGAGCGTGACCATCGAGTAGAAGGAGAGGGGGGGGGGGGCTGAGAAGGCGGGACAGGAAGGCTGACTAGTCAGAGGGACACCTCGACACCGGGACGCATTGCATTGCGGATACTCTCCCATCGTGATGTGTGGCTTCCCCAGGCGATTTAATACGATGTTCGTCGTGTCGACGATGTGACGCCTCTAGTTGAAGGCGTAAGAGCCCTCAGCAACGAGGGTGGGCTTTGCGGTGAGTGCAGCAAAGTATCCCGCGTCGTAGTGCCAGCGATAGTCGTCGCCACCCATTCGCATGATCCACATGCAAGCACTTACAAGATAACGCAGACAATCCACGAGTCTAGACAGCCTATCGTGCTTCAACCTACCACTGTCTGCCCACTGCTCACACTGCAACGCATCCGTCCAGCAGTCCGCCACGCAAATGATTGTCGCCTCCTGCTGTGCGGCCATGTCATCATCTTCAGGCCTGTTGACGATTTTCAACCCCGTGAACCACAGAGGCACGTCCATCTTCATCGGCAATGTGTAGTAGACGAGCGTCGGGGAAACCACTCTCGACCATTCCAAGCCTTGCCACACAGTACGCGCGACGCCAGTGGCATAGTCCAAGGTGATGTAGGACTCCGCACGTGCGAAGCCATTCGATCTTGATGATGACTTGAAGATCCACCCGTGGATCGCTCGCATCACGATTTTCTCGACGGCCCTTGCTCTCTGCAAAGCCGGATTGCGCTGCGTAGGGTCGTCGATCTTCGTGAGGTGGATATTAGCAGGCGGCATGATGAGCATGGCCGGCGGCTTAGCTCCCGACTCCCAGTTGGCGATGGCAACAAAGTACTCCACGCAGTCCATAACCGCCTCCCTCAACGGTTTGTCGGGACCTTGACCCCAGAACGCGTCGCTATCCACCCACAGTATTGACGTACACTCCAGATCGTCCTCCGGGCCGTGCTTCTTCAACCTTTTTGAAGGGTGGTTGTCGTCGTCGTTGTCACTCTCCCGCCTCCCATCCCCTCAGTCGTCTTCGCGGCGAACGTCCACTACCCTTCTCTCTTCCCGACCACCACCTGACCCGGTCGCCCTGGGCTGACGTTCGTGGGAGGGGGGCATCCCTGTGACCCCACCCTCCCCGCCCCACGCAGGGGACTTCGCCTTGCCTGTCCCCGAACGGCCCGCCTATTACGATGTTAGCTCTTCACGGGTTGGCGATGGCGACGCGACCTGCTTCTCCACCCGCCCTGCCCCAGCGACCGGGATGATCGTACCACGAGCGGCGCTCGAAGCCGCACCCCCCGCCGGCAAGAGTGGCCTTGGCGACCGCCCCTCGTTGATCACTAACCCGCCTCCCTTCGGTGTCCTCACTTGGGCGATGGTGGCAGCGCTTCCGCCAGCCTGTTTTAATGCCACGCCCAGCGCCCTCGGCACACCGTCCCGCCCGAAACCCAATCGCCCGCCTGCCTGCTGGCTTTGGACGCCCGCCACTGCCACGTTCTCCTCTTCTTCGTCACCATCCGAGCTGTTATCAACTACGATCTTTGTTGCAGACTTCCTGAACTGGCCCCGTCCTCTCTTGCCTTCCCCCCCCGTCCTCCTCCGCTCTCTCTCCTCCCCCTCATTGCCGTGTTCCGTTGCCGCATGTGGACGACGGTGCGCGGTCTGCGATGCGAGAGAGCACGTCTGGCGGAAAGGCTACGGGTAGACTGCCGCACGGAATGGCGGGCACACCACCCTTTTGTAGCTTTCGCCGCACTCCAATAAAATAGGGACAAGCATCGCCGGACATGCACCCTGCCCTTTCGTAAAATGCACCCGGACCTTCTTTACCCGTCCAGTGCATATCCTCGCCTGTCGCCTGGGCCCTCGCGGACTCTCCAGCTCACCTTTTTTTTCCTGCCACCTTCCATGCGTCGTCCACAACTCCAGCGTTGCATGAAAGAGACAGCGCAGTTCGACGCCTAGTCCTTCCAAGAAGGCATACAGAAAGTTCCTCCAACCATCTTGCATGCCGACCCGCGCAGTGTCCGTGTGGGCGTGTGCAGGCCGGTGGACCACGATGTCCGTGTGCAGGCCGGTGGACCACGAATGGACCACCTCGTGTCTCCAATTTCCGTTGTGGAGTCGTCGGCGCCGGCCCGTGATTCGCAGATCCTCGGGCTCCGAAGGACCTCGCGCTCGAGGACGATTTGGCTGGGAAATCCTCGGAGCCCGAGGATTCGTCCTCGGAGCGTTTTCACATTTTTTTTGGGAAAATCGGCTGCGAGGACAGGTGTAACGATGACAAATTCCTCGAAATCTCGTCCCGAGGAGTGTCTAACGAAGCCCTAATTCCTCTTACCCACCCTAGATTTCGCCCGCTCTCCATTTCCCTTTATGTTTGCGTTGATATTTCATTTCGTGCCTTTTTCTTTATGTAAGAAACCATTATAGACCGTGGTGGAAGGATCCAGTGGTGTATGCTCCCCTCAAGGTTTCATTTCTTGATTGGCTGCTGGCCTCCCCGTGTGCCTGGTTTGTCACATGGTGACTTTTTTTTTTTTTTTTTTTTTTTTGGGGAGCAACATTTATAAAGCTGTGCTTGAGTTTTCTCCTCGCTGTGGAAGGGCAGTGTAGTATGTGCTCCTTTGCTATAGCCTATACTCGATTTACTCGCCTGATACTCTCTCCGGGTAGGCTCACTCTGTGCTCAACGTGTACTCTCCTTCTGATTAGCATCTCGCTTGCTACATTAGACTCTTGATTCTTCTAATCCCCTAATCTCAATCTTTAGTTTCCAAGATAGAATGTGGCCACTGCAGTAGTAGAGAAAGACTCTCCATGCAATCTACAGGCCAAGTGTTAGCCACTCAAAGCTAGCATGAATGTGGAGGGGGAGGGAGAAGAAGAAGAAGAAGAAGAAGAAGAAGAAGAAGAAGAAGAAGAAGAAGAAGAAGGAGGAAGAAGAAGAAGAAGAGGAAGAAGAAGAAGAAGAAGAAGAAGAAGAAGAAGAAGAAGAAGAAGAAGGAGAAGAAGAAGGAGAAGAAGAAGAAGAAGAAGAAGGAATAAGAAGAAGAAGGAGAAGAAGGAGAAGGAGAAGAAGAGGAAGCGGAAGAGGAAGAAGAAGAAGAAGAAGGAGAAGAAGAGGAAGCGGAAGAGGAAGAGGAAGAGGAAGAAGAGGAGGAAGAAGAGGAGGAAGAAGAGGAAGAGGAAGAAGAAGAGGAAGAAGAAGAAGAAGAAGAAGAAGAAGAAGAAGAGGAAGGAAGAAGGAAGAAGAAGGAAGAAGAAGAAGAAGAAGAAGAAGAAGAAGAAGAAGAGGAAGGAAGAAGGAGGAAGAAGAAGAAGAAGAAGAAGAAGAAGAAGAAGAAGAGGAAGAAGAAGAAGAAGAAGAAGAAGAAGAAGAAGAAGAGGAAGAAGAAGAAGAAGGAGAAGAAGAGGAAGAGGAAGAGGAAGAGGAAGAGGAAGAGGAAGAGGAAGAGGAAGAAGAGGAGGAAGAAGAGGAGGAAGAAGAGGAGGAAGAAGAGGAGGACGAAGAGGAGGAAGAAGAGGAGTAGGAAGAAGAAGAGGAAGAGGAAGAAGAAGAGGAAGAAGAAGAAGAAGAAGAAGAAGAAGAAGAAGAAGAAGAAGA